ATTTATTAGGAAGTCAGAAAAGCTGAGGGGTACCAGAGTGACTGCAAGTCTGGTATACCATGTCCATTGTTCTAGGTAGAGAAATTCACCCACACCAGAAACCTCCCTCTGAGAGGCCCCCTAGGAGAATTTTGGCCAGACATCCTCTGACTAAACCTACTGAAGCCGCTCCTACCCAACCTACAGGAATTATCAAATGCTACTATTGTGGTCAAGAGGGTCATCAGGCTTCCAAGTGTCTGGCTCCTGCACCAGTCCCACAACCAAGGCCCACTACAGCTGCCAGAGGTAGGAGAGCTCTACGGAAGCCCCCAGAAACCAGTCAGCTTGCCAGACAAGCCATACAGGTTCCCCTCCCCATAGAAGAGAGGAACCTCAGCCAAAGAAACCCTTTCCGGAAAGGCAAATGATAAAGAGGAACCTATGGTCAGTGCAGCCATCCCCCCCACTTTTCAATTAAAGTGAAGTTGGTGGTGCCTGAGACTGGGGAGTTTGGGGAATTTGAAGCAGTAATAGATACAAAATGTTCCAGATGTCTAATTGGGCTCCGAATTATTGAGCAATTAGGAATAAAAACTAAAGCCCTGAAACGCCCAATCAAGTTTGAACAAGTAGATGGAACGCTAATTGGAGGAGCCCCAGCCACTCAAATTACAGAACTGATCAGATTAGAAATGGGGAGACATCATGAACTTATATGATTTATAATAGCTCCAAAAATGTCAGAATCTATCATATTGGGACTAGCGTGGCTTGACAAATGGGCCCCTACCATTAAATGGGAAGATGGGTATCAGAAAATCATAATTGACATCGGGCTGCTGTGCCCCATGCCTCCTGATAAAAGACTGCCAGGGACCCAAAGCCAGAAGCAGCAGCTACTGTTTCAGACTCTCCTCCAGACAAACCCCAGGTTCCTAAAGAATATAGAGACTTAGCTGATGCATTTAGTGAGAAGGAATGCAACATCCTCCCCCCTCATCGAGCCACTGCTTGTGCCATTGAATTAGAACCTGGGGCAAAGCTACCTAACCCAAAAATGTACTCCATGATACCTACCAGAATGACTGAGTTGAGGAAATACACTGATACCAACTTAGCCAGAGGGGTTCATTGAACCAGCAAAATCTAGGTTGGCAGCCCCAGTATGATTTAAAGAGAAGATGGTGCTCTCCGATTATCCATGGATTTCTGTGGCTTGAATGCTATGTGCATACAAAACACATACCCTCTCCCCCTAATAAAGGACTTGCTAAATCACTTGTCCAAAGGCAGTCTTTACCAAGTTAGATCTGAGAGAAGCCTTCTACTGAGTCCCCATAAAAGAGGGAGACAAGTAGAAAATGGCATTTAACTACCCTCTAGGGAGTTTTCAGTTTCCTCTAACAACTTCCTGATTAACTTGGGTATTAGAGAAAGGGAAGGAAAGGCGTAGAGGAGGCCCCAGGACCAAGGGCATCAGAGTGCATTGACTCCCTCTGCTCCCTGAGCTGGGAACCTTAAATACAACGTCGGCAGTTGGTTGTTTAATGGTGAGGGAAAGAGGTCCAGGATCAGCTGGCCGAACCGATCTGACAACTCCTGGAAGAGGCTTGGGTGCAGAAACCACTCAAAATGGTTGACAGTGGCTCTGCTCAACCAGTCTGCTTGAACATTGGTCAATCCCAAAATATGTTCCGCCTTGATGGAGTGAAGATGTCTCTCTGCCCAGCAGCAAAGCCATTCTGCCTCTGCCATGAGGGACTTGGAATGCGTGCCCCCCTGCTGATTTATGTGGCCCTTGGTGGCCACATTGTCCATCAGGAGGAGGGCATGTTGTCCTGGATCTCGTTCTGGAATTTGCAAAGAGCCAGGTGTGCTGCTCTGAGCTCCAGCCAATTGATGTTGTATGTTAGGTCCATTCATGACCAGCAACCCTGGGCCATCAAGGACTGACAATGAGCCCCCCAGCCCAAGAGGCTGGCATTGGTAGTAATTGTCAGTTGATGTGGGTCCCAGAAGGGGCAGCCTTTGGTGATATTTCTGGAAGTCCACCAGAGTAGCGACTGAAGAACCCTTGGCGGGACCAAAACCTTTGCATTGGAGTTGCTCCTGCTGGTTCTCTGGTATGGGAGCAAAAACCATTGCAAAGTCCTGGCATGGAAGCCTGCCCAAGGGACTATTGCAATGCAGGAAATCATTTTGCCCAGAAGCTAGATAATTGAGCCAAAGGAACTCTTTTGAGTGTCCAAGTCTGTTTTGACTAGTCTCTGATATTGACTTGATGCTCTGGCCAGAGGAAAACCTCACCTGTCACGGTGTTGATGATGGCACCCAGGTGCAATAGATGAGTGGTTGGTGTTGAAGCCAGGCTGAATGGTAGGGCCTTGTACTCCTAATGGCAGTTGTCGTAACAAAACCACAGGAATCTTCTGTGTGTTGGTCTGATTGGAATATTTCTCAAGGAACCCCACAAGGAGTGTCCTCATGGAGACCGCGATTCAGCCTATTTGCTTCTGATGTCCAAAACCTCATAGATGGGGATATGTCAGGAGGGAGCCCCGCCCCAGTTGGGATGAAGGTAGTCTTAGGGGCCAACCTGGGTCTCTTAGCTTGTTGTTCTACCAGTTCTGTTGCAGGCAGCAGTATATTTGGAGAAGTTTTGCTGTTGACAGCTGCCACTGGGGTCTGAGGTAGAAATGCCTCAGCTGCTCCCTTTGGTGACCAAACTTGGGCTCTGGATCCTAGCTCACTGGAGCCAACTGAGCTGTCAAGCAGTTTTAAATGGCGCAGAATGTCAAAGGCCTCGGCATGAACTGTCAAATTGCCAAAATGGTGCCAGCTGTCAAAAACCCTCAGCGCAAATTGCCAAGGTTCCAAAGGGTGCCAGCTGTCAAAAAGCTTCAGCTTTCAAAGTGGTGCCAGCTGTCAGAAAGCCTGTGTGAAAAGTCAAAAATTCAAATTGAAGTCAGCTGTTAAAAAACGCCTCGGCATGATGCAAAAATGGCGCTGGCTTTCAAAAGCCTTGGCGCAAAAAATCAGAGTTCCAAAATGTCCCCGGCTGTCAAAAAGGCCTCGGCGTGAAGCCAAAATGTCCCCAGCTATTAAAAAGTTCTCAAATTCAGCAATGATTAGCAGGCTCGCACCAACATGCTTCTTGCTCAGGCCACTATTTATGACCTTGCCTGTTGTCAGCTGGAAAGAGGCTTTATTGATGGAATCGAACTCCCACTCTTTGTGCTGCTGTGGCCCTCATGTTAAAGGGCCTGCTGCTAACCAACAGACAGCTGGTAAAATTAATGTCACTCTAAGCAAAAAATAATAATAATCCTCGACGCGCCCTGAGGGTGATGCTCTCACCCTAGATGATCTTAAAGGTCGAAACCAAGTAATGTTCAAAGAATCCTAGCCAAGAAACATGTCTTGATCGAATGACTGAGCAAAAACTGGGGACAAGTGTCAAGGAGGCGGGCCCTCAGAACTTTACTCAGCCTATCAAGCAGCAAAACGGAAGCATTACCCTGGCCTGGATGCTTGGAACAACACACTGGAGAAAGATGTTATATAATATGGCTTTTATAAAGAATTGATAGAACTGGATAAGACACTAACAGGAACAGAAGAAAGATTGATTACAAAACTGTATAGCTATCTACTGAGTATAAAAATGGAGGAAGAACAAGTGAAGGAGACAATGATAGTATATTGGATATACAACAGAACTAGATACATGGCAGAAACTGAGGGATAGAAACTATAAATTAAAAATGTCAACTGCATATAAAGAAAACTTTATGTTTTATAGCATTTTGTGCTGGCAAAGTTGGCAAGAATATAAATCAGCCAAATGTTGAAAATGCCACCAGATACCTGGTACCTATTATGTGTGGTGGACATGTGTAGAAGCCAAAAAATATTGGACAAAAATACACACATGGTTGGAAAAGATGATTACATCAATATATTGATTTAAAACCCGAAATATTTCTGTTGGGGATTCTATCTGAAATCTATAGTTAAAGAGAATGCATATTTAATTATTCATGTATTAACTGTAGCTAGAATTGTATTTGCACAAAACTGAAAAAGTGAAGAGATTCCTACTGATGAGAGCATGATCAGGAAAATATTAGAATGTGCAGAAATGAAAAGGTGCATTTAAAGAGAAGGAACAAACTGAATATTAGATGATATGGGAACTATTTTATCAATGGCTAGAGAATAAATATGAAAGTTAGAAACAAAAGAAGATTAGGGAAATACGGAAAATATGTTAATAGAATTAAATACATCAAGTTGAGGGTTGTTATAATAATTAGATATATTATGTATATCAGTATTAAATCAAGAGTAGATAATTAATGTTAATGTAATAAGGCTGTAAACTCTAATTGTTATTGCACAAGATATTTGCACCCAGACAACACACTGTTTAATGGAAGATGGATTGTTTGTATTAAAAATAAAATTTTAAATAAATAAATAAAAGAAAAATCCCAGAACCGACTTTGCTTCTGCTGTGCCTAGATGGATTTTTCAATAAAGCTACACTCTTGGTTAATCTAAAAAACTGGGAGGTTTTTTTTTTTGTTGAATGTGCCAGATGGGATGGTTGACAACTACAAGTTCTAGTCTTGCCTTAGACTTGGCAACCTTGCCTTAGGTGGGTAACCTTGAGCCACTCTTTCTCACCCCTAGGAGGCAAGCAATGGCAAACTATTTCTGAAATCTTGCCAAGAAAACTGCAGGGACTTGTTTAGGCAGTTGCCAGGAACAAAAAACTGACTTGAAGACTGTTAGTCAGACAAACAAACAAACAGATTAAAGAACTTCATTTCATTCCTATAGATTTTTACTTCTGGTTCTTAAAATCTTTCATCTACTGAAGTTCATAAGCTCCCAACATTTTTCTTAGAGTCAGAACTTCAAATAAACTTTCATCCTCCAAAATCGAACCCATAACCATCCAAACAGCAACACAACTACTAGCTATATTTCTGATAAAATTGGGCAGTGATTACCTTTACAGCATATTCCATATTTGTGGTTTTATGTATACATCTCTTGCAAATGGAATAGGATCCAACTCCTATATCTTGTTTGACTTCATATCCGTCAGTAAACTGAATGCTGTTCCTGTGCAACTGCTACCAAAATAACATTATTAATTAATGAGTTCTCTTAGCTCTTCGTATTAAATGTACAATATATTCACAGGTAAATTTGTACTAAATTTAAAATAAAATGAATTTACTTTTTATTTTGTTGCCAGAACACTCATGTTCATGCATACTAAATAGTGTTTAAATACACTGAGGGAGATAAATGATAATTTTATAATGAACAGTTGAATGTTAAAGTATCTGATCTTAACCATAATAAAAAGTGGCTATATGTTTTGATAAAAAGCAGCAGGGAAAAACATATGTGTATGATGAACACTTATAAATTGTTTAAATGAATTTAAATAAAATATATGCATAGAGTAAGAAAGTTACAAGTAGTGGTTCTTTGTTCATTTTGCAAGGGAATAACTTACATGCTAACAGCAATTCCCCACTAGTGACTTAGGAGCAACTTGTGGAAATGATGCAAAGCATCACCTCACTGCTATTATATAGGCATAAGAATGATTGGATAACTCTAAAAGATGCTAAAAGTCACTAAGTATGTAGCTATGTTTATGACTTTTATGTTCTTTAGCACTTCAGATTTTGTAAAATGTAATAACTGGAAAAAATCTGTATCTACAAGTACTGTATTAAACTAGATTGCTACATAGTTTATATTGCTCAAGTCACCTGTACAAGTAACTTTTCTAAAGTAATTTTTACACATGTGAAACATCTTTCTATAAGCATTTTACACGTGGCCATCTATATTCAAAACTATGCAAATGATGTTTCTTCTATGAATGTTGGCCTAGATAACAGTCAATCTAAAAATTCTTCATTAAGAACATTCACCTGAACAATTGAATGCCCACCAGATGACTGCATAGCTTGATTTTCATCATCTGATGAAATAGCTACAAAACTGAAACCCCGGAAAAGCTGATGAGCATTAGCACTTGGTGGAATACCAGGTGAATCTGCAAAGAATATATTGATAAGTATATTTAATAAGTTTTGTAAATATTTAAGAATGTTCATAATAAAAAATAAGCTATAACAGCAATAAAAATGTTAAAAATTAACTGAATTGCAATACATTTAAACATTAACATTTCAGTTGGCTGATAGGTCAGGTATCTGACAATAACTACGTTTTTCTGAAAGGCTAATAGCAAGAGAGAGATGAAACTTCTAAGAAAATAAATTCCAAAATTTTGGCAAACTGTAGTCTATAAAGGATAGCTTGATGACTCATGATACATTTAAGTTAAACTACAAGGAGAGCTATCTTGCATTTAATGCAAAATCATAGAAGGGATTTCTTTCAATACAAGGACTGCATATGATAGCAGGAGCACTATGGCAAAGTTTTTTTAAATAAAATTTAATATATCTGTGCCAGAGAAAAATTAAAATAATATACACAGAACTTCTGGTCATGAACGCTTCTGACCACATCCAAATCGGGTTCCGACCAAAAAAATTCACAATTTTTTTTGAATCTGGTCACAAACATATACTGGGGTGGTGATCAAACCTCTGACCCAGAAATTCCTGAAGATGAAACATTAGAAGACAAAGAAATTGCCAAAGTTATGATATGAATTATGGTCAAGACTGTATACTTATTGTTCTACTGTATACCAAAATTTCCTTGATGTAGTATATATTTTACCTTTTGGTGTTTTTGCTGTAAATTCAGGATCAAAATAAAAAGTGTCCTCAGGTCTACCAGTCGCAGGTTTAAATGGTGGATTAATTTCTCTTCTGTACAATTTCTAAGACAAACAAATTTTAATATATTACAAATATATACAAGTGAGTTACGACTGTAATTGGGTCTGAATGTTATAGTTATAAGTAGTGATGGTCATAAAGTGGGTTACCACCTGACCAAATCTGATTTAAGACTTTTGCAACAGTCCCTAAGCGAATGACATAGTTGCTAAGCAAACCCATTATTCTTTATGGGGTGGATTTTGCTGGAAATAAACATTGGTTTCTGACAAAAATGGTTCAAATTGCAGTTATGTGACCACAGATGGTGCAAACAACTGTAAATGTGGACTGGTTTCCAAGCACTCAAAATATGTCACATGACTGTGGGAGGGGACATGAGAACTTCGGAAATGAATAATTAGCTTTTTGTGGGGTGTGTCCATCATAACTTGGAACATGATAAGCATGATATATTTCTTATAACAGTGAATGCTTTTATTGATTTGTGTACTTACATTCCAGTCTATTGAGGTGAAAAATGGATGCCTCTTAATTTCCTCAACTCCATCAGGACCTGCTCCTATATGAGGTTATTAACAAAAACAATACCAAAAACCCCTTAGATGATTATTTGAGTTATTGTTGAAATCTTAATTAGATAACTTTAATATTCTACCTAATCTATTTGCAGGATTCCTTTTGAAAAGCATTCGAAGAAGGCTCTGAGCTTCTGGACTTAAAAACTGGGGCATTCCAAGTTTGGCTCTGTAAAAGAAAACAAATTAATAGTTTATAAACATAAATAATATTAATCTATGTTCATTGGTTTTAGTTTATTACTGTAGGATACTGTAGTTAAACTATAGGTTAAATAATTGGAATTAATAGCCACTGTTTCTACCACTGAGACAAATGATTTTTCACTATTCTGCTGCCTGTCATCATATGAGCTTCAGGTCAGGTGGGGATGGTTCAAACAATTTCCATGCAGACTGAGACAGGAAAAAGAGAGGCTGAAGAGTGAAAAGTAAAACAGAATGAAGAAATTTCTGCTCTTTTGATATTGGATACTGTCTCTTGCCTGGAAATAAACTGTTAAAAGCCTCATAGTATGTTATAAAATGGTAGAATTAATCATTCTTTTAAACATGACTAAGCAACATCATACAGAGCACAAAAAGGGAGTAAGAAATAGTAAGTTGAAGAAATTAAAGGCATGAGATTAGAAAATAAAAAATACAATTACATCAAGTTTGCAGCACATCACTTGCTACTTCATGCTTTTCTGTGCTTGTTTCTACTACATTCATAAACAATTTCATACATTCATTCATTTATTTGATTTGTCAATCGCTTACAAGATAGTAGGTATAAGTATAAACATAGTTATGAATGCATGAAATGGATACATATAAGAAAAATAAAAAGAAACAATAGGACAGGGACAGTAGGCACGTTGGTGCGCTTATGCACACCCCCTACAGACCTCTTAGGAAAGGGGTGAGGTCAATAGTAGACAGTCTAAGGTTAAAGTTTTTGAGATTTGGGGAAGAAACCACAGTCAGGGAGAGTATTCCAGACATTGACCACTCTGTTGCTGAAGTCGTATTTCCTGCAATCAAGTTTGGTGCGATTAACCTTGAGTTTGTATCTATTGTGTGTTCTTGTATTGTTATGGTTGAAGTATTCATTGACAGGTAGGACACTGCAATGTTTGATTTTATATACACTGCTCAAAAAAATAAAGGGAACACAAAAATAAGACATCCTAGATCTGAATGAATGAAATATTCTTATTAAATACTTTGTTCATTACATAGTTGAATGTGCTGACAACAAAATCACACAAAAATTATCAATGGAAATCAAATTTAGCAACCCATGGAGGTCTGGATTTGGAGTTACACTCAAAATTAAAGTGGAAAAAAACACTACAGGCTGATCCAACTTTGATGTAATGTCCTTAAAACAAGTCAAAATGAGGCTCAGTAGTGTGTGTGGCCTCCACGTGCCTGTATGACCTCCCTACAATGCCTGGGCATGCTCCTGATGAGGTGGGGATGGTCTCCTGAGGGATCTCCTCCCCCACCTGGACTTCAGAATTCCAAAGGTGGTTGCAATGGGACAAATCAAATATTTGATCCAAGAATCATGTTTCAAAGGCTGAGCTAATATTGTACAATAATATAAAGTGTCAGTTAAAAGGTAAAATTACTATTAAAGAGCCAGGGAAATAGAAAAGCATATTATCCTGCTCAAACCTCTAATAGGTTTAAATAAAGAATAATGAAAATATATTGTTCTGCAAGGTAACTGAATGTATTATCTAAAACTGATGAGATGGGAGTTCTCAGAGCACACAAAATGTTATGTAAATATTGAGAAGTTAACTCAAGGTCTAGAAAAGAATAGCCAAATTTCTCTTAATTTTAAAGGCTAGGAGGAAAAGATCAACCATATTTTTCAGACAGTAAGACACACTGGACCATAGGTTTAAAGGAGGAAAACAAGGGACAAAAACGGAACATGCGGAAGGTTTGGGGGGGGCAAAAACAGGTCTGCATTCACTCTATAAGACACACAGACATTTCCACCCACTTATTTTGGGGGAAAAATGTCTCTTATAGTCTGAAAAAATATGGTATATTTATACTCCAGAGTGAAAATATATACTATACAGAGTTTAATTTCTCTGTTCTGCAGTTCTTCATATTCTGTCTGTAAGCTTCTACTATGTTCCTGAATTCAGGGTTAATATCTGAAGAATTAAGAGTTATTGTATATGGCATGAAGTATGACAAGGAATATCTTATGAGCATATGTACTATATCTTGAACACCATGCAAGCACTTTGAAAACAATTGCCAAGAAAACTATATGATTTATTTGGGCATTCACCATGAGTCAAGCAACAAATATCAGTCAATACAGATTTTTCAATATGTTAGAATTAAGTTGGTATACAAGAATACGGAGAAATTGTAGGAATAAGCACTGAAAAAACATATTTCTCACTTATTCAGTGTTAACAAACTGAACATGTGAGAAAACTCTTCAAAGTTGGATTATAGCAATACTACTTTGAAGATAACATGAATAAGAAATATGACACATGAGACATTTAGTGAGTTAAAAGGAGTAATAGCTATTGCATGTCAAATTATAAAGCATTGGGTTGAATATCTTTACACTTCTGATGGAGAAAGCAGGACATCTGGAATATGCATTTATATATATTAGTACCTTTCAAAATTAGGGGAAGAATAGTCATTCGATATTACAACCCAGAGAGCAAACCCGGTAGAATATCTGAGACATATAAATAAGAGTGTACTCACTTGAGAATCATAGTCATTGTTTCTTTTCTGTCTTTCCCTTGGAAAGGTAGAGTACCAGTGAGCATTTCAAACTGAAAGAATAAAACTTTCATCAATTATACTAAAAGATATGGAAAAAACCTTTGACAAGATTATTTAGCAGAACGGATTTTTAATTTTTCTCTATAAATGTAAATTAGGAGCTTTATATGCAATTTTCTCTAATAACAGCTTAAGTTCCCCAAAACTTAACTCTATATTTAATGTCTCCAATATGTTCATATTCCTCAAATATAAATTTTTATTTCCCTATATTTTTTTAACTTTTAAGTATAGATTTTCAATTCCATTCTGCTTTTAAAATTGCAAAATAAAAAAAAAGATAACATTGCACCCATTTTAAGAGCAAAATATTCTGAGCTCAAAATATTGTATTCCATTTCATTGGAAGTTGACCAACCTTGAAAATGAGGTTGGACAATTTCTGATAACAGGCTGTTCTAATATAAGAACACATCTGGTGAGGCTAAAATGCGCTTTCTTTGAGAGTTATTTGTAATTCAAAATTATTTGGCATATTTCTATTTTAATGAAACAGTTCCAAAACATATTTATATTTTTTTCCGCTTTTACACTTTAAGAAATTTAAATATTTAATACGATAGTTTATAAATAAATATACATACCAAAAGTAGTCAAAATTAATTTGGCTATTATTTTTTTTGAAATTGAAATTATTCTTTTTTTCTCCTCTAGAAAGTTCTTTGAAACATTGCTTATAACTTCATATGATTACTAGGTGATATCTCAAATTATTTTAAATTTAGGAGCTATTTTATACTGACTTCCAAAAATTTAAAACTAAAATTCAGTATAGTTGGATATTTGAGATTATTTCTCTGAGAAGAAAGTTTAAAAAATCCTGTACTTGAACCATTTTATTTTGTTACAAAATACTTACTACATGCTAATCATCATATCTTTTAATATACTTGTGACAGAAATACACTGAGGCAGGAGTGTCAAATAGGACTTTCCCCCCCTTTGCTAAACCGGCATGGGCGTGGCCCAGTGGTGGGATTCATTTTTTTTTTACTACAGGGGAAGGATACTGTAAAATCTCCAGTCAGAGGTAGTATTTGCTGGTTCTCCGAACTATTCAAAATTTCTGCTACCGGTTCTCCAGAACTGGTCAGCACCTGCTGAGTACCACCTCTGGCGTGGCCAGTGCATGACACATCTGGCCTGTGGGCCAGGAATTTGACAGCCCTGCACTGATATAACATTGTAGTCAGATTAAAAACATGTTAAAAATCCCTTTTCTTTCCAAAACTGCATAATTATGTTTCTTGTAAAAGTTAACAATTCTTTATTTTTTTTTGTAATAGTAATGTTGACCTTGTTAACAACTTGTATTTTAAACACAGAAGTATATTTGTTATTTAAGACAATTTATAGTGAAAAGTATTGCATTAGCATATTTTAAAAATCTCAAAAGTTTTTAGTTGCAATTTTAAATGATCAAGTTAATGAAAATCAAAAACTACATTTTGCTTAGATTTGATTATGGACATAACAAATTTGAAAAATATTTTTATAATATATTACTATAATGAGGACCCAGATTGTTGGGGGCAATATGCTGACTCTGTAAACTGCTTTGAGAGGGCTGTTAAGCACTATAAAGCAGTATATAAGTCTTAAGTGCTATTGCTATAATTCTGTTTAGATATAAATCATTTCCATTTGTCCTGGTTCAACCTCATATATGTATATTGACAGGATTTAATTTATCCTAGAGGTACTTATAAAATAATAAAAATAGTGCCAAATCTATAGTGACCTACAAACTACTAAGAAGTGAAATAAAGAATTCAATTATTTACCCTGCCAATTTATATCCCTGATATATATATACATACTATGTTCAGAATAAATTAACTAGGTGGGCGTGTATTTGACATTCATATATGGTCAAAATGAAGTTCCTTCTCTTCTTTTATTATTAGAAAGCTTACTAAGATAAGTGTATGAAAGCATGGTGCTGAATATCAAAGATCCATAGATTTTATCATCCCATGCATTAAAACTTACCATTAACACACCAAATGACCACCAGTCTGCACTCTGTGTATGACCTCGCCGATTAACTACTTCTGGGGCCATATATTCCACTGTTCCACAAAAGGAGTATGCCTTTTTCTCATGATCAATAGATTCTTTGCTCAAGCCAAAATCTGGAAGGAAAAAAAAGTACATTTTTATACATATTTCTAATCAGATTTTTTTTTTTAGTTCTTAACAGGCTATTTTTAAGTGCATGTATTTTGCAATCATTCTGTTTTCTCCTACAAAAAGCAAGGTGTCTATAAATCATTCATACAAAGTAATTTTTGCCTTACATACCTGTTAATTTAATATGTCCTTCTTCATCAAGAAGTATGCTATAAATAAAGTTTTAAATTGGTTATATGAATTTTATTGGTAACAATTAAAGAAAGGTATAAATAGTATAAAATGTTATTTCAAGGTTAATAAAGGTAAAGATTTTCCCAGTCCAGTTGTGTTTGACTCTAGGGAGTGTGCTCATCTCCATTTCTTAACCGAGGAAGCTAGTATTGTCTGAAGAACTTCAGTGATCAGGTAGCCAGCATGACCATATGCCGAGGGGCACAGAATGCTGTTACCTTCCCACCAAAGTGGTACCTATTTATCTACTTGCATTTTCATGTTTTCAAACTGCTAGGTTGGCAGGAACTGGGGCATGTAATGGGAGCTCACCCTTTTGTATATCCAAGAGGCACAGAATGCTGTTACCTTCCCACCAAAGTGGCACCTATTTATCTATTTGCATTTCAAACTGCTAGCTTGGCAGGAACTGGAGCAAGTAATGGGAACTCACCCTTTTGTATGGCTCTCAGGTATTGAACCCGGGCTGTCAGCTTTTCAGCTGAGAAGCTCAGTATCTTTAACCGCTAAGTCATCACAACTTTATAGATAGGAATGGCCTATAAGCCTTTACAATAAATAAATAAATTTATCAAATGTATAAATGTAGCCATGGGCATCTGCAAATGTTTGCTTCTTTTATTAGAAAGATGAAAGTAATGTTGTGCTATCTGTTATTCCCTTCTGGTATTACTATATACATAGAAAAGGGCAGAGATTTATGACATGAAAACACTTTTGCCATGTCATTCTACTTCACCATTATTCCATGTCCACAGCTACTTGAATCCAATTTGAAATAACTTACTTTTCTGGTTTTAGATCTCTGTATATTATCCCAAGACTATGCAGATGGTCTAAAGCGAGTGCTAATTCAGCCAAATAAAATTTGACATCATCCTCTGTGAACATGACCTACAAAGGAAAATATGCATTTCCATAATTAAGATCCTGCCATCAAAGGCTAGAGGGGGGAATTGTGGGGAGACAACAAATGGGCAATATGATTTTGTGTATATGATGGGAAGTAGGGAAGTGGGAATGACAGGTGATGAAGACCAGAGAAGCCTGAAACAGTTTGTACCAGAGGCACCAAGGCCATGCACCTTGAGAAAGGAATGTGAATTGCCCAGAACATCTCAATGTTCTCATATCTTGGTGAGCTCTGATTGGCAAAGCACAGACTGGTCACAGGGAGGAGAGAAGATAACATTTTCTGTATCTTTTTCGTGCAGGAAAACTTTAGAGCTAGGCCACCAACTTACTGCAACTTCCTTAATAAAATAAAATGTTGCTTCAATCTAATGGAGTCAGGATCTTTCTTTCCTAAGGGACTGGATGGGGAAAGTCTGACACCTAGTAAGAAGGTTTATTTCTCACTTAAAATGTAACATATATAATTAAAAATAGCATGCAAATGTTCAGATATATAACTGAATTCATAAAAGCCACTGTCATTATTAAATAAGCATTAACACAAAGCATCTAAAATTCATACTAACATATGATTAGCTGGTAGAATTATTTCAAAGCATAGAGAATGCAGGAGAAATGCTATATGAGATATAAAAAAATTAAGAAATTTGGAAAATTCCTACATAGTTAAGCACATTTTTAAAACGAAAGCTCTATTAAAAAGCCCCTGTCATAATTATAATATAAATCTTGCTTACCTCTTTGGATAAGCGTGTAAACAAATCGCCTCCCCTGAGAAAGTCTAAAATAAGATATAACTTCCCTTCTGTTTGAAAAGCTGAGGGAAAAGCAAACAAGTGATTTCAGTAAAGTCATACAATATCTTTAGCCAGAGAGGAACTATTTAATTATTTATGTTATACTCCATAGGAGATATGTCAACATTGACATCCATCACCTTTAGTGCCTACTGTTAGGAATGATAGTCACCTAACAGTTGGGTTGGAAATATATAAACCAGGATAGTCATTTAATACTGTATCTTTAACAAATGCTGTAAATGTGATTGGCTGAGGTTCCTCGAACAGCCATAAGATGGAGCCAGAAACCTGGTTTTATTCTCCTTGCATTTCCTGTTTTTGCCGTGTTGCCTGATTGTCATTCTACTTGGATTGCTGTGAGTCTTGCAAATGTTAGCAAATTCTGTTTCCTGAACTCTGTTTATGATACTTGACTTCGTTTTTGGATTATCCCTGGACTGATACTAACTGCTTTGACCGTGTATGATTTGGACTGTTTGTTGGACTTTGTTTACCCATTTACTGGAAGTAAAACCTACATTTTACTATTCAGTGTGTCTGTGTGCTGGTCGTGTGTTATTCAACATCACTCTCACTATGTCTCCTTGTGTGCACGCATTCTCCTAACGGGGAATACCTCCACAGCTACTGCTGCTGTTTGTTAAAGTTGCTACTGTACTCCAGTAAGTAACTAACTGCATCTACTGTTAGTAAGTAACTAACTGCATGCTACTATCCTGTCAATCCTTCCTGAAAATTACCCCACTAGAGAAGGCTCAATTATTATTGCCTGCCTCACAGTCCCACAGTGCAGGACTGTAAAAAGCATAATGGCTGTTAGAGCTAGCTTGGACAGAATCCTTTGTCATGGGGAGTATTCATATTATAAAATTGTTGTTTTAACATGCTTGGTCATTAAATTTCTTTGGAAGTATTAAAATACAATGGCTAAACTCCAGCATTTACCATGTGTTATGATTTTCAAATAATCAATAAAAACAATGCCCAAAGCTAAAATTCACTAAAAATGATAACATTTATTATAGAATTTAGTGTACCTGGAAGAGACTCTATGAGAGCTCTTCCTGATTAAAATGTCTCCAAGCTAAGGTGCTGAATCTCAGCAAGAATGTTTATAAAAGCAAAATGCTTCTATGAAACAAATGATATCTGGTGGAAAATACATACAGCATTTGATTATTTTTTATTTATTTTTATTTATTTATTTTGATTTGTCACTTGCTTACAAGAGGTATAGGTATAAGTATATACATAGTTATGAATACATGAAATGGGTACATATAAGAAAAATAAAAGAAACAATAGGACAGGGATGGTAGGCATGTTGGTGCGCTTATGCACGTCCCCTACAGACCTCTTACGAGTCTATTCTGTTTCATGGTTTTATGCATTGATGCAATTGAGCAGAATTGTGATGGCATACAAAGACCTTGGAAATAGCAAAATGTTATATATTAACCTCCATGTAAATTATCACTATATATCAGGTAGTATTAATGCTACATTTTAATTGTCACATTGGTTTGCATGGTTATTTTGTATGAACTGGATGTTAAAATTACATCTGGTTCACCAAACCAGTATTTCAACCAACTGACTGGCCCTGCCCACCCCTCCCCTGAGTCTCCATGCGGCCCATTTTTGATGGAGCATCTGCATGGAGGCTCTGGGGGGGAGAGAGAAAATGGGCCTTCCGGAAGTCCAGAAACAGTTTCCGGCTTCTGGAGGGCCTCCAGAGCCGGGGGGAGGCTGTCTTCACCCTCCCGGAGGCCCAGGGAGGCCTCTGGGCCCTTGGGAGGGCAAAAAATGGCCCTCCTGGAAAAACCGGAAGTCGCAAAACAGGTCTGTTTCTGGCTTCCGGTGGGCTTCTAGAGTTCAGGGGAGGCTGTTTTCACCCTCCCAGAGGCCCGGGGGAAGCCTCCAGACCCTTGTGAGGGTGAAAATGACTTCCCACTGGAGGCCCACCGGAAGCTGGAAAGAGGAAGTTCCAGCAGGTCATGCCCACCATGGCCATGCCTACCCAGCAACCAGGCAGCGAACCTGTTGCTGGGATTTTTGAATCCCATCCTTGAATAATACTATATTTTACCTTGCTTGAAAAACAAGAGAAAATATTTCAGTGAGAATCGATACAATATCTTTCAGAATATAAAGATCTAAACTAAGATATATTTATTTGTTTTGAGTCAGTTTTTGACTCCTGGTTACTGCCTGGAAAAGTTCTTGTAGTTTGCTTAGCAAGATTGCCAGAAATGATTTGCCATTGACTTGCTTCTGAAAGGAAGGACTGAGAGAGAGTGACTGGCTCAAGATCACTCATCTGTTTTATGCCTAAGTTGGGGCTAGAATTAGTCTCTGGATTTCTAGCCTGAGGCCTTAACCAGATATTGGCTCTAAAGTACATTGTATATAATGTCAGTTCCATAAAAGTTTGCACACAATGCCTCAGAAGCTCACTGTAGGAAATCTTGGCTTTGCCTGTCAGAAAGGAGGGTGCTGGATTTCTTGAGCCAGGATGTGACAGTAAATCTATGCATCTCATCCCAGCTTAATTTGGCTAGTAGGTTCAGATTTGGCTAAAATTCTTCAGATACATAGCACAGCATTATTAAATAAGAATCTTCACTGAAATTAGTATGAAGTAACAATAAACAGCAGATGGCCCTGTCAACGTGTGAAAATACAGTTGCCTTTTGTATCCACAACCTTTTAAAACTTTGTCTTCCCACTGCTTTCCTGTTATAATGGACTTTTTTCCCTGTATTTTATGGCCTTGGAGTTGAGTTGTTTTATTTATTAAATATATATGTCACTCATCTTGCTGTCTAAAGCAACCTGCTATGCCCTGCCCTGAAAATTGCTGGGTCTTGTTTTATCTTGTATAGTAAAGGACAATGCCCCTTGGAAAAAATATTTCTGTAACCTGTCTATAAAGCAATGACAGTTTACTTAGCCCAGCTGCCTCCTAAATTCCAATATTAGGTAAAGTCGAGTTTTAAGGAAAATGAGACGTAACAAAAGAAACAAACTTTCTGAATGATTTGCTTAATCATCTTAGAGACAAAAAAGATAAGCAAAATGCAAACCATAATGCTGGCAACTGTAAATAAAGCAAACTCATCAAAGTCATAATAAAAATAATTCATAACTGAGTAGCTGTTTTAGTTATATTTCTAAAAGCTGAGTCCTGGCTACTTATTGGTGGAATTCCACACATGAAATTGTCCTGTCAGAAAAAACATTTTCTAATTCCTTCTATTGCTAGACCATTCGATGTCAATCAATTTGTTGACTTTTAGGCAGGGTCAATATTTTTTACTAAGACAACACATATTTTTGAAGCATTATACATAGCAATTATATAAACCTGATCTTAGGGAAAGTATGAAAGAATCATTAAGGATGACCTTGGCTACATATTATAGTCCAAAAATTGAAGGAAGCATGAGGGAGAAACTTGAAATAACCCCAGCTTGATTTTGGGCTTCAAAGTTCTGTTCAACAATAAGTTAGCAGTCTTGGAATCTCAGAGGTATCAGGATTTTTTTACCTGGCCTACCACACAGATATTCTAATCATATTTCATTGATTTGCAAAATTTATTAAACTTACCATAATGTAACTTGACAATAAAGGGATGGTTAACTTCTACTAAGATGTCACGTTCCATTTTTGTCCGAACACGATCACGAACTATAAAACATTTAGTTTAAATTAATAGCTATTAAGTGAATCTGGACTTTTTGTTTTGGAATATCTAGTTATCTCAGCCTAAATGCTTTCCAGAACCAACATAATGTAAAATGTAGTAAATGCAATTGGGCAGCCAATCAAATACTCCCCCCCACCTCAAGTCCATAGAGTTTTCTTGGCAAGGTTTTTCAGAAATGGTTTGCCACTGCCTCTTTCTTAGGACTGAGAAAAAGTGATAAGCCCAAGGTCACCCAGCTGACTTGTGTCTAAGGTGAGACTAGAAGTCACAATCTTCCCGTTACTAGCCTAATGTCTTAACCACTATGCCAAACTGGCTCTCAATCAAATGCTACTTGATAGCTGATAGAGACAAGTCTGCTGATGCCAACTTGTATTTCAGATAGCTAGTAGACAAGCTATGGCATAGGCAGAAGTATTAGCAGTTCCAATATTTGAGGGGCTGCCACAGAGAGGAAGGTGTCAAGCTATTTTCTAAAGCACCTGAAGGCCAGACAAGGAATAATGGATGGAAATTGAACAAGGAGAGATTTTTACCTGGAAATAAGGAGAAACTTTCTGACAGTGAGAAAAATCAATAAATAGAACAGCTTACTCTCTGAAGTTGTGGGAGCATCATCACTTGAAACTTTCAAGAAGAGATTGGACTTCCATTTGTTAGAAATAGTGTAGGGTTTCCCGCTTGGGCAGTGGGTTGGACTAGATGACCTACAAGGTCCCTTCCAACCCTGATTATCTGATATGTAATTATTATAATCAGTAATTTTACATACAATTTAATAATTTCAGGATTGTTCTTCAAAAACATTGGCCATCACTAGTCTAACCTCTCCACAAAAACACTGAATTACAAATATAAATAGGTGATCAGGGAGCTACTAATTTTATTATATTTCTATCCCCACCACAACCCAGCAACTTGTATGTAAAATAAATTATAAAATAAATATTTGGCATAACAGCATCTTGATAACCTTCATTAACTTCTTCCTGAATACGTAGATAATCTTCACTTAGCAACTCCCTCATATACTCAGTGACAGTTCACAGTGATAACCATAAAGAAAAAGTAACCTTTTTAAAAACATCTATAGGTTGCATAGTTTACCTTTCAATGTTGCTTTTTTAAGCACTTTCATTGCATACAGCTGTTTGGCATCAGATCCTGAGATTTTTTTCACAAGAAATACCTGTAGCAAGCATAAGCAAAGCCTTTTTAATATCAAACACAATAATGTAATTGTAATAATCAGTCAAACTGGCCAACAATATAAAAAATAGGCTTCTACAAAGCTTTAAAAAATGTGAAAATAAAAATGAAAGTGGCATTTACAAAGTACCTCCTTCTGAATCCTTACAGTAAATGTAACAATTTCCAGCATCAGAAGCTACTCCTAGCTGTCTATAAAGTATGTACATATGCATATATACTTAACTTCAGTGGGAAAAGTTATGCATGTATATCACTTGCAAAAACAGGTGGGAGCAGATTCCAAAGCAGGTGCATCAAACTGCACAAAGCAGCCCTTTTAACAATTTGGTACACAAATGCAAAAATTATTAATATTGGTTTCAATTCTGCAGCTTGCAAAGGAATAAAATATGAAAAAGCCTCTTGACTTCAATTAGAGGTATGGCTGATCAGCACAAATTCAAATGTAAAATTCTCCAAATGTTTTATATGCTTCTGGTCTAAAAAAAAGTCCTGCCCACCTCAAAGTTAGGCTATTTGATTAGATTCTTAAAAGGTCCTTTGAAGGTTGTAGCAAAATGAAAGTAACTTTGTCTGTGACTCTTAAAGCAACACTATCTGTTTCCATGATCTTATGGCAGCTGGATCTTGGGGAAAGATGTGAGGAGTTGCAGACAGATTCATGGTCCTTATCTGCCAAAGCACTCTGAATAAGAATCCAAAGTATTGCAGAGTTTTATTAATGAAATAAGTTTTAATATTAATTCAATCATGGAAAATTGTGAGGAAGTGTATTAAATTTATATTGTTCTCCATTCATAATTTGTGAACAATCATTCTTATATATTAGCTTGGACAGAAAACAAGGAGACAATGAAAGAACCTGAACAAAGATTTGGTAGGTGGAATTTAAAAACTAGATATTCATTTAGGGAATTCAGATTAGTACAGGCTGCAGCAAATACTACGGTAGCTTTTACAGATCTAAAGTCTCTCTTACCTTTCCAAAAGATCCCTGGCCTAGTACTTTAAGGAGTTCAAAATGTGAAGAATCTGCTTTTTCATGCCCTTCTTTGACATGATATGTTATTGCAATCTCTTTAATATTGCCTTCTTCCTAGAAAATAAAATAAAAGTGGTTCAATGTAATGAGTAGAGTTCATGTCATTTTAAAAAATATATTTATTAGGGCATTTTATACAATAATAAATGGAAACATACAATATATATTTAAAGAAAAGAAAAAGTGCAAGTAGATGTTAAAAAAGTAAATGGAGGAAAGAAAAAGAATAAAGAATTTATATAAAAGATCGGCTTGATTTTCTTTACAGCAGATAAATAAATTTAATGTCAACCCTCCCTTTTTAAGGTTATGTCATAATCCCATTCTTTCCATATTTTCCCCTTTCTAAACATCGAACCCATAAATCAACAGTTCATTTTTTCCATTGCCAGCAGAAAGTCCATAAATGGTTTCCAGTCACTAATAAATGTACTTGTTGTCTTCTCCCTAATTAAACAAGTCAATTTTCCACCGAGTGGAGTTTATTTCAAAAGATTTTTAAAAAGACACATTTAATGAAAAAAACATGAAGACAAAAAAGATATCATTGAATATAATTTTGATGCAACAAGAAAAACAGACAAGTAGTCATGATTAATGCTGCACTGAACTGTACACTCTGAATGACCTAGCAAAAAAAAAAATTCAGAAGTTCCCATTATGAAACATATGAGAAATGAGAAGCACTGATTTGGACAGCTCCTTTCCATGTCTACATTTAGCACAAAGTAATTAGACTTACTAAAGAAGAGTTTCTAGATTACTCTAGGTTCTACTAATCAAAGACATGTATATCTCTTTTGAAACATTTATTCACTAAAAGCAGTTATGTTTGTATCTAGTCACTCCTCCAAAGTAAAATAGGGTAACAGATACAAAATGTTTATTTTATCATCTTTTTAATTTCACTCGGTCAAATTGTGGCTTCTACACCTCCTTCTCCAAAGACAAAATTGATGCTTGGGAGTTAAAATAGCTGGATATTGGCTGCATCTTCAAAATCCAGTTTTCCATTCCTGATTTAAGTAAATTGATTAGTGGCACATTTAGAAGAAAATATAATTTAATTATAATATAATTTATAATTCAACTAAACTAGATTAAGGATGTTGTTTCAATAACTAATGTATCAGTATCAAGACCTGGTCTTATTTTCTTTTGGGCTTCAAAATAAGCACCAGGCTTATTTTTGGGGGATGTCAATTTTTTTTCATCTCCTCTCTCTTCTACTTGTCTGCCCCACTGCAAGGCTGCCATGGAGCTTCTGCCTGCTGAAGCTACCTTGTTCATCACAGTTTGATTTTGCTTGAGATGCAGGAGAAGGGGAAAGATTGGAAGAGCCTGCACAATGGGTGGACAGGGTGAGGAAAACGCTTTCAGAAAGTGATCTGTGTGTGTGTGTGTAGGATTTTCCTGCTGATTCTCTTTTCCTTGAGGATGATTTATACGAAAACAAAACAAACCCATTTGGTCTAACAGTATACCAGTATCTACAGGCTGGCAGAAAGTGGGTTGCTTGAGCTACAGCTTTGACAAGCAGGAGCTATGTGGTGGCCTTGCAGTGGGACAAACGGATGGAGGAGGGAGAGGAGATTGCCCCTTCCTCCACCCTGTCTTCCCTGGCCTCCAAAGTTGCGGAGGGAGTATTTTTTGGATGTGCGTGTGTGCAGGACTGGCAGGGTTGAGCAGAGAGTGGGGGAATCTGGTTTAGATGAGTATGGTGGAAAGGGAGGCAGACGTGCGGGCACTCCTTGGATCTTGTTGGTTGCCTTGTTCATCATGGTTTGATTCTGATTGAGATATGGGAGAGGGAGAAAGATTGGAAGCACCTGCACAATGGGCGGACAGGATGAGGAAAACTCAGAAAATGATCTGTGAGCAGGGGGCAGTGGTGGGATTCAAATTTTTTTACTACCAGTTCTGTGGGCGTGGCTTGGTGGACATGGCAGGGGGAAGGATACTGCAAAATTCCTATTTCCTCCCTACTCCAGGGGAAAGACACTGCAAAATCCCCATTCCCTACACACTTCAGTGCCGAAAAACAGCTGAGAAGCAGCTGTGGCACTTGAAAAAGCGGCACCTGGGTTCGCGGTGCTTCAGGGATGCAGCAGCTTCCCTTGTGCGGGAAAAAAATTCCCTTTGGTTGAAGTGAGGCTGGCAGCAAGCTGTGGCTATAGGGAAGACAAAGGAAAAAAGAGCCTCCATAGCGCTTTGAAGCATTACGAAGCAAACCTGACAGCACAAAAAGTCAATTTTGAATAAGCAGTGTTTCTATAGCGCTTCTACGAGCCAGTCTTTTGCCACAACCTCTTAGGGCAAGACTGAGTCGTGAACTGGGGAAAGTGATAGTTGACAAGGGGTTGGCAAAGATTATGGACTCAATCTCTGGGAAGAAAGGCATGTGTCAACCCATCCGTGGATTCTCCAATCATCGTGCTGGAGAAGCAGCTGAAATCTAGTTAGATGCTAAATGGAAGGTTAAAGCCGCAGATACAGATAGTCCTTGTATAACCATTTGTTCAGCCTCCATTCAAAGTTACAACAGCACTGAAAAAAGTGACTCATGACTGCTGCAGCATCTCCATGGACATGTGATCAAAATTCTGGCATTTGGCAACCAGCATGTATTTATGATGGATGCAGCATCCTGGGGTCACATGCTAATTTCTCTATCTATGATTGTGGTTAATGCGGGTAAAATTATTTGGAACATAAGTTGCTCTGCTCCTTCCAAACTAAATGATGGTTAATAAAGTCCCTGAATAGTTAAGGCAGGCAGTCCTTTTGGCACCAAGCATGGAGAAATAATATAATATAATATAATATAATATAATATAATATAATATAATATAATATAATATAA